ACACCGAGCGACTTCTTCACCTCTGCCGCCTCCATGGTAGTGCTGGCTGTGAGGGGCACTGACACGGGCGCTGGCAGCACAGACGCTCCTCTCTCGCCTTCGTTAAAGCCCTTCCCCAGCGCAGCGACACACCACAGGTCGTTGTTGTCTCTCTCCCACTCCTGCTCAGCAGCACCCAGGTTCTCCCGGTGCTCCCCACCTCTGGAAGCAGCCCAGCGCTACACCAGGGCACCTGTGTCACAGCCCCGCGGTGACAGCAGTGACATGGCTGCTACTACCCACTGTGACATGGCTGCTACTACCCACTGTGACATGGCCGCCAACTGCCCACTGTGACACGGCCGCTGCTGGCAGCAGGCGCTGAGCCGGGGACCCAGCCATAGCAATGAGGGGAACAAGGCTCTGCTATGGGTGCATGGGGCCGGAGCAATGGTGGCACCAGGGAGTCCAACTCCACCATGCTCACTGCTGGGGCCTCTGCTGCCGGCGCACATGAGCTCCTGTGAGCTTAGGGAGCGCGGCCCCAGGGGAAGCTGGTCACTGCATTGAGAGGGAGGTGGAGTTAACCCAAACCCAGGGCTCCACTGAGGATAGAGCAGAAAAGGGGCTGAAAAATGGTGCTTCTCCATCAGTTCCACGTAACAGGGCCAGGACTGGGCTGAGCTGCTGGGAATCCCCCAAACACTGGGGAAACCCTCCTTGAAATCCTCCTTACATGCCAGAGGAGAAATTCTAGAACCGTGGAACGCTTTGGAATGGAAGGGACCTTCCAGCTCGTCCAGTTCCAACCCAGCAAAACGCAGTAGGGCCAGATGAAGATCTTGCCCAGGAAGGGCAAACCGGTAGGCAAGAAGCTGCAGGATCCCATCTCAGAGCCCCCAAGGAAGAGCAGGGTTTCCTGAAGAGAGCCAGCACCTGCTTGTGCTGCAGCTGCTGGACCTGATGTGTTGGACAGTGTGGCTGCTGGCCACCCTGGCCATTCATAGCCCGGCCAGCCGCTGGCCGCAGAGGACCTGGAGACGGGGTTGATGTTCTGAGTGTCCCTGCAGGCCCACTGCCCTGCCCAGAGTGCTCCAAGGCCAGCGGCTGCTCTCCCACAGCCACCTTTGTGCTGCCTCGTCGCACGAGACAGCGACTCAATGGTTGGTGTCTTTGAGGCCTCTTGGGACATCACAGCTGCCTACGCTCAGTTCGGTGGAGCCCAATGGTAGCTGTTTCCTACACCCTCCCAATGAGTAACGCTGAAGCCCAAAGGTGCCCAAAGAGGACTACAATGGCCCCTCTACCACGTGCACCGGTGTGCAGGGGCACAAGCTCCAGGCCCCCATCCAGGGACACGTTGGGGACAGCGCCTGCCCCACGGGTGTTTGGAGTCCTGAGGTGAGACCAGCACACAGCAGCCGCTGCAGACCACCCTGTTCATAGCACCCCCAAGCTGAGAGGAGCCGGTTTGCATGTCACAGTCCCTGGGCTTTATTGGCGGGGGGGGAAAGGGATGTCAACAGGGCAGCAGCCCTCAGTGACCGCAGGGAAAATCCATCCCAGTGCATACACGAGGTTGCTGTAGATCTGCTCAGGAAGTCCACACGAGAGCACGCAGCAGAAGAACTCAAGGTCAAGGCGCAAGGTGCAGACAAGTGCAGCAGCCACACAGATGCCAACGGCCAGCTCCAGGCTGACCAAGAGCAGGGAGAGCATCCTGTGAAGAAGAAGAGCCATGGGAGACAGGGCAGGGTGGATGATGCCAACCCTAGGTCTCCTCTGGACTTGAGGGGGCCATGGGCTGCCCCCAGCCATTTCTCATCGCACCCTTAAGCAGAGTGAGACCTGAGACTCCTCAATCCCAGGAAACACCCAGGCTCAAGGAAAACTGACCCTGGCCAATGCTCAGCTAGAGCCCAGAGCCGGGCAGCAGCACACAGCATCAGCCTGAACTTGAGCCTGGCCAGATGGAGCAGGCGTACAGCACATCCCTGCCACTGCCTGGAGCGGGGTACAGGGCACCCCGAGGGGAAACTCACTGCAGCCAGTAGCAGAAACCACGTCTCCTGGCCAGCAAGTCCCTCTCCTCTTTCTGCGCCACGGCCTCTTCCAGCTTCTCAATTTGCTGATCCAGAATCTGGGAGAAACAAGGCTTGGAGTCTCTGAACCTGCTGGGGCCTCCTCCAACCTCACACTCCCCAAGGGCCTGTTTTGCCCTGGCCCTTCTGGCACTACCTTGTCCTTCTGCTGCTCCTCCCGCAGCCAGGCCCCCATGCAGGCAAGGTGTTTTTCCTCCTGCAAAACAAGGGCAGCGTCGGGCACTCTCAGCCCCCTCCAGCCCTCATTCACTACCCCACCGCCACAGGGCACTGAGAAGCGCGGGTGACTCCAGGCCACGCACAGGGAATTAAGTGATGGATGCCTCATCTCCTGGGCAATGTGTCCTCCTCCCCAGTCACCCTTTTGCCCGCAGCCAGTGGGCAACACGTGCCAGAGAACCCTCCTTCAGCAGGGGGGGCGCTGGACAAGACTACCCCCGAGGACCCGGCACACCGCTCAGCCCCAGCCGGCACAGCTCTAGGACATGGCTAGGGGAGAGGACACCAACCTGGCTGCGGACCTCCTGCACAGCATCAGAGAGATCCTCATGAGTCCCGTCCTGCGTGGGGAAAGGAGAGCACGGGCTCAGGCTCTGCAGCCCCAGAGCCCATGGACCAGGAGCCCCTCCACACCTACCATGTCCTGCAGCAGCTCCTTGCTGCCGGCCTGCTCTGAGTATCTCTGCATGGCCAGTCTGAAGGCTGCTCCGTCGGCCTCTGCTGCCTGCAGGAGAGGAGAGGGAACAAGAGTGTCTCCAGGAGGGGCACGGCCCATTCCCTCCATTGCAGGCAACAGACCGTAAAGTAAATGTCACAGAATCACAGAATCAACTGCGCTGGTACAGAACTGTAGCATCCAGTCCAACCATTACCCTGCACTGACAAGCCCACCACTAAACTAAGCGCAAACTGATCTTCCCTCAAGATCTCCCCTCATGGCTGCCCTCACCATCTCCACTCACAGCCACCCCTCGTCTCCCACCCATAGTGGCACACGCCCTATAGCTGCCACCGCTACCCCTCATGGCCACCTCTCATCTCCCCTCATGATTACCCCTCAGGAACGCTCCCCACACCCCATGGCTGCCTTGCTCTCCCGTCATGATCTTCCCTCATGTCCTGCCCGCTCATGCCGCTGCCCGTGGCTGCTGGCGTACTCGGGCCAGCACTGACACCCCCTTCCCCGTCCCTGTGTGGACCGGCAGCCCCTCCACACCCACCATAGGCTGCAAGCCCTTCCCTGTCCCTGTCAGCACATGGCTCTGAGCAACCGGCTCTGGGTGACGCTGCTTCAGCAGGGACACGGACCAGAGCAGCCGATGCCCAGAGCTCCCTCCCCGCCTCAGCCAGGCTGAGGCTGTGCAGGCGCCCTCCACACCCACCCAGCACTGCAGCCGCTCCTTCCACCTCCTGGACTCTGCACAACTCTGCTCCAGCTGCTCCACGAGCACACCGAGCGACTTCTTCACCTCTGCCGCCTCCATGGTAGTGCTGGCTGTGAGGGGCACTGACACGGGCGCTGGCAGCACAGACGCTCCTCTCTCGCCTTCGTTAAAGCCCTTCCCCAGCGCAGCGACACACCACAGTCGTTGTTGTCTCTCTCCCACTCCTGCTCAGCAGCACCCAGGTTCTCCCGGTGCTCCCCACCTCTGGAAGCAGCCCAGCGCTACACCAGGGCACCTGTGTCACAGCCCCGCGGTGACAGCAGTGACATGGCTGCTACTACCCACTGTGACATGGCTGCTACTACCCACTGTGACATGGCCGCCAACTGCCCACTGTGACACGGCCGCTGCTGGCAGCAGGCGCTGAGCCGGGGACCCAGCCATAGCAATGAGGGGAACAAGGCTCTGCTATGGGTGCATGGGGCCGGAGCAATGGTGGCACCAGGGAGTCCAACTCCACCATGCTCACTGCTGGGCCTCTGCTGCCGGCGCACATGAGCTCCTGTGAGCTTAGGGAGCGCGGCCCCAGGGGAAGCTGGGTCACTGCATTGAGAGGGAGGTGGAGTTAACCCAAACCCAGGGCTCCACTGAGGATAGAGCAGAAAAGGGGCTGAAAAATGGTGCTTCTCCATCAGTTCCACGTAACAGGGCCAGGACTGGGCTGAGCTGCTGGGAATCCCCCAAACACTGGGGAAACCCTCCTTGAAATCCTCCTTACATGCCAGAGGAGAAATTCTAGAACCGTGGAACGCTTTGGAATGGAAGGGACCTTCCAGCTCGTCCAGTTCCAACCCAGCAAAACGCAGTAGGGCCAGATGAAGATCTTGCCCAGGAAGGGCAAACCGGTAGGCAAGAAGCTGCAGGATCCCATCTCAGAGCCCCCAAGGAAGAGCAGGGTTTCCTGAAGAGAGCCAGCACCTGCTTGTGCTGCAGCTGCTGGACCTGATGTGTTGGACAGTGTGGCTGCTGGCCACCCTGGCCATTCATAGCCCGGCCAGCCGCTGGCCGCAGAGGACCTGGAGACGGGGTTGATGTTCTGAGTGTCCCTGCAGGCCCACTGCCCTGCCCAGAGTGCTCCAAGGCCAGCGGCTGCTCTCCCACAGCCACCTTGTGCTGCCTCGTCGCACGAGACAGCGACTCAATGGTTGGTGTCTTTGAGGCCTCTTGGGACATCACAGCTGCCTACGCTCAGTTCGGTGGAGCCCAATGGTAGCTGTTTCCTACACCCTCCCAATGAGTAACGCTGAAGCCCAAAGGTGCCCAAAGAGGACTACAATGGCCCCTCTACCATGTGCACCGGTGTGCAGGGGCACAAGCTCCAGGCCCCCATCCAGGGACACGTTGGGGACAGCGCCTGCCCCACGGGTGTTTGGAGTCCTGAGGTGAGACCAGCACACAGCAGCCGCTGCAGACCACCCTGTTCATAGCACCCCCAAGCTGAGAGGAGCCGGTTTGCATGTCACAGTCCTGGGCTTTATTGGCGGGGGGGGAAAGGGATGTCAACAGGGCAGCAGCCCTCAGTGACCGCAGGGAAAATCCATCCCAGTGCATACACGAGGTTGCTGTAGATCTGCTCAGGAAGTCCACACGAGAGCACGCAGCAGAAGAACTCAAGGTCAAGGCGCAAGGTGCAGACAAGTGCAGCAGCCACACAGATGCCAACGGCCAGCTCCAGGCTGACCAAGAGCAGGGAGAGCATCCTGTGAAGAAGAAGAGCCATGGGAGACAGGGCAGGGTGGATGATGCCAACCCTAGGTCTCCTCTGGACTTGAGGGGGCCATGGGCTGCCCCAGCCATTTCTCATCGCACCCTTAAGCAGAGTGAGACCTGAGACTCCTCAATCCCAGGAAACACCCAGGCTCAAGGAAAACTGACCCTGGCCAATGCTCAGCTAGAGCCCAGAGCCGGGCAGCAGCACACAGCATCAGCCTGAACTTGAGCCTGGCCAGATGGAGCAGGCGTACAGCACATCCCTGCCACTGCCTGGAGCGGGGTACAGGGCACCCCGAGGGGAAACTCACTGCAGCCAGTAGCAGAAACCACGTCTCCTGGCCAGCAAGTCCCTCTCCTCTTTCTGCGCCACGGCCTCTTCCAGCTTCTCAATTTGCTGATCCAGAATCTGGAGAAACAAGGCTTGGAGTCTCTGAACCTGCTGGGGCCTCCTCCAACCTCACACTCCCCAAGGGCCTGTTTTGCCCTGGCCCTTCTGGCACTACCTTGTCCTTCTGCTGCTCCTCCCGCAGCCAGGCCCCCATGCAGGCAAGGTGTTTTTCCTCCTGCAAAACAAGGGCAGCGTCGGGCACTCTCAGCCCCCTCCAGCCCTCATTCACTACCCCACCGCCACAGGGCACTGAGAAGCGCGGGTGACTCCAGGCCACGCACAGGGAATTAAGTGATGGATGCCTCATCTCCTGGGCAATGTGTCCCTCCTCCCCAGTCACCCTTTTGCCCGCAGCCAGTGGGCAACACGTGCCAGAGAACCCTCCTTCAGCAGGGGGGGGCGCTGGACAAGACTACCCCCGAGGACCCGGCACACCGCTCAGCCCCAGCCGGCACAGCTCTAGGACATGGCTAGGGGAGAGGACACCAACCTGGCTGCGGACCTCCTGCACAGCATCAGAGAGATCCTCATGAGTCCCGTCCTGCGTGGGGAAAGGAGAGCACGGGCTCAGCTCTGCAGCCCCAGAGCCCATGGACCAGGAGCCCCTCCACACCTACCATGTCCTGCAGCAGCTCCTTGCTGCCGGCCTGCTCTGAGTATCTCTGCATGGCCAGTCTGAAGGCTGCTCCGTCGGCCTCTGCTGCCTGCAGGAGAGGAGAGGGAACAAGAGTGTCTCCAGGAGGGGCACGGCCCATTCCCTCCATTGCAGGCAACAGACCGTAAAGTAAATGTCACAGAATCACAGAATCAACTGCGCTGGTACAGAACTGTAGCATCCAGTCCAACCATTACCCTGCACTGACAAGCCCACCACTAAACTAAGCGCAAACTGATCTTCCCTCAAGATCTCCCCTCATGGCTGCCCCTCACCATCTCCACTCACAGCCACCCCTCGTCTCCCACCCATAGTGGCACACGCCCTATAGCTGCCACCGCTACCCCTCATGGCCACCTCTCATCTCCCCTCATGATTACCCCTCAGGAACGCTCCCCACACCCCATGGCTGCCCTTGCTCTCCCGTCATGATCTTCCCCTCATGTCCTGCCCGCTCATGCCGCTGCCCGTGGCTGCTGGCGTACTCGGGCCAGCACTGACACCCCCTTCCCCGTCCCTGTGTGGACCGGCAGCCCCTCCACACCCACCATAGGCTGCAAGCCCTTCCCTGTCCCTGTCAGCACATGGCTCTGAGCAACCGGCTCTGGGTGACGCTGCTTCAGCAGGGACACGGGACCAGAGCAGCCGATGCCCAGAGCTCCCTCCCCGCCTCAGCCAGGCTGAGGCTGTGCAGGCGCCCTCCACACCCACCCAGCACTGCAGCCGCTCCTTCCACCTCCTGGACTCTGCACAACTCTGCTCCAGCTGCTCCACGAGCACACCGAGCGACTTCTTCACCTCTGCCGCCTCCATGGTAGTGCTGGCTGTGAGGGCACTGACACGGGCGCTGGCAGCACAGACGCTCCTCTCTCGCCTTCGTTAAAGCCCTTCCCCAGCGCAGCGACACACCACAGGTCGTTGTTGTCTCTCTCCCACTCCTGCTCAGCAGCACCCAGGTTCTCCCGGTGCTCCCCACCTCTGGGAAGCAGCCCAGCGCTACACCAGGGCACCTGTGTCACAGCCCCGCGGTGACAGCAGTGACATGGCTGCTACTACCCACTGTGACATGGCTGCTACTACCACTGTGACATGGCCGCCAACTGCCCACTGTGACACGGCCGCTGCTGGCAGCAGGCGCTGAGCCGGGGACCCAGCCATAGCAATGAGGGGAACAAGGCTCTGCTATGGGTGCATGGGGCCGGAGCAATGGTGGCACCAGGGAGTCCAACTCCACCATGCTCACTGCTGGGGCCTCTGCTGCCGGCGCACATGAGCTCCTGTGAGCTTAGGGAGCGCGGCCCCAGGGGAAGCTGGGTCACTGCATTGAGAGGGAGGTGGAGTTAACCCAAACCCAGGGCTCCACTGAGGATAGAGCAGAAAAGGGGCTGAAAAATGGTGCTTCTCCATCAGTTCCACGTAACAGGGCCAGGACTGGGCTGAGCTGCTGGGAATCCCCCAAACACTGGGGAAACCCTCCTTGAAATCCTCCTTACATGCCAGAGGAGAATTCTAGAACCGTGGAACGCTTTGGAATGGAAGGGACCTTCCAGCTCGTCCAGTTCCAACCCAGCAAAACGCAGTAGGGCCAGATGAAGATCTTGCCCAGGAAGGGCAAACCGGTAGGCAAGAAGCTGCAGGATCCCATCTCAGAGCCCCCAAGGAAGAGCAGGGTTTCCTGAAGAGAGCCAGCACCTGCTTGTGCTGCAGCTGCTGGACCTGATGTGTTGGACAGTGTGGCTGCTGGCCACCCTGGCCATTCATAGCCCGGCCAGCCGCTGGCCGCAGAGGACCTGGAGACGGGGTTGATGTTCTGAGTGTCCCTGCAGGCCCCCTGCCCTGCCCAGAGTGCTCCAAGGCCAGCGGCTGCTCTCCCACAGCCACCTTGTGCTGCCTCGTCGCACGAGACAGCGACTCAATGTTGGTGTCTTTGAGGCCTCTTGGGACATCACAGCTGCCTACGCTCAGTTCGGTGGAGCCCAATGGTAGCTGTTTCCTACACCCTCCCAATGAGTAACGCTGAAGCCCAAAGGTGCCCAAAGAGGACTACAATGGCCCCTCTACCACGTGCACCGGTGTGCAGGGGCACAAGCTCCAGGCCCCCATCCAGGGACACGTTGGGGACAGCGCCTGCCCCACGGGTGTTTGGAGTCCTGAGGTGAGACCAGAACACAGCAGCCGCTGCAGACCACCCTGTTCATAGCACCCCCAAGCTGAGAGGAGCCGGTTTGCATGTCACAGTCCCTGGGCTTTATTGGCGGGGGGGGAAAGGGATGTCAACAGGGCAGCAGCCCCTCAGTGACCGCAGGGAAAATCCATCCCAGTGCATACACGAGGTTGCTGTAGATCTGCTCAGGAAGTCCACACGAGAGCACGCAGCAGAAGAACTCAAGGTCAAGGCGCAAGGTAGTGCCAGAAGGGCAAGGGAAAACAGCCCACAGATGGCCAGCAGGTTTCAGAGGCCTCCAGGTTTGCACCAAGAGCAGGATAGCATCCTGTGAAGAGGAAGAGCCATGGGAGACAGGGCAGGGGGAGATGCCAACCCTAGGTCTCCTCTGGACTTGAGGGGGCCATGGGCTGCCCCCCAGCCATTTCTCATCGCACCCTTCAGCAGGGCAGTGATGACCTGACGCACTCCTCCAATCCCAGGAAACACCCAGGCTTGCTCAGCTAGAGCCCAGAGCCGGGCAGCAGCACACAGCATCAGCCTGAACTTGAGCCTGGCCAGATGGAGCAGGCGTACAGCACATCCCTGCCACTGCCTGGAGCGGGGTACAGGGCACCCCGAGGGGAAACTCACTGCAGCCAGTAGCAGAAACCACGTCTCCTGGCCAGCAAGTCCCTCTCCTCTTTCTGCGCCACGGCCTCTTCCAGCTTCTCAATTTGCTGATCCAGAATCTGGGAGAAACAAGGCTTGGAGTCTCTGAACCTGCTGGGGCCTCCTCCAACCTCACACTCCCCAAGGGCCTGTTTTGCCCTGGCCCTTCTGGCACTACCTTGTCCTTCTGCTGCTCCTCCCGCAGCCAGGCCCCCATGCAGGCAAGGTGTTTTTCCTCCTGCAAAACAAGGGCAGCGTCGGGCACTCTCAGCCCCCTCCAGCCCTCATTCACTACCCCACCGCCACAGGGCACTGAGAAGCGCGGGTGACTCCAGGCCACGCACAGGGAATTAAGTGATGGATGCCTCATCTCCTGGGCAATGTGTCCTCCTCCCCAGTCACCCTTTTGCCCGCAGCCAGTGGGCAACACGTGCCAGAGAACCCTCCTTCAGCAGGGGGGGGCGCTGGACAAGACTACCCCCGAGGACCCGGCACACCGCTCAGCCCCAGCCGGCACAGCTCTAGGACATGGCTAGGGGAGAGGACACCAACCTGGCTGCGGACCTCCTGCACAGCATCAGAGAGATCCTCATGAGTCCCGTCCTGCGTGGGGAAAGGAGAGCACGGGCTCAGGCTCTGCAGCCCCAGAGCCCATGGACCAGGAGCCCCTCCACACCTACCATGTCCTGCAGCAGCTCCTTGCTGCCGGCCTGCTCTGAGTATCTCTGCATGGCCAGTCTGAAGGCTGCTCCGTCGGCCTCTGCTGCCTGCAGGAGAGGAGAGGGAACAAGAGTGTCTCCAGGAGGGGCACGGCCCATTCCCTCCATTGCAGGCAACAGACCGTAAAGTAAATGTCACAGAATCACAGAATCAACTGCGCTGGTACAGAACTGTAGCATCCAGTCCAACCATTACCCTGCACTGACAAGCCCACCACTAAACTAAGCGCAAACTGATCTTCCCTCAAGATCTCCCCTCATGGCTGCCCCTCACCATCTCCACTCACAGCCACCCCTCGTCTCCCACCCATAGTGGCACACGCCCTATAGCTGCCACCGCTACCCCTCATGGCCACCTCTCACCTCCCCTCATGATTACCCCTCAGGAACGCTCCCCACACCCCATGATGCTGCCCTTGCTCTCCCGTCATGATCTTCCCTCATGTCCTGCCCGCTCATGCCGCTGCCCGTGGCTGCTGGCGTACTCGGGCCAGCACTGACACCCCCTTCCCCGTCCCTGTGTGGACCGGCAGCCCCTCCACACCCACCATAGGCTGCAAGCCCTTCCCTGTCCCTGTCAGCACATGGCTCTGAGCAACCGGCTCTGGGTGACGCTGCTTCAGCAGGGACACGGGACCAGAGCAGCCGATGCCCAGAGCTCCCTCCCCGCCTCAGCCAGGCTGAGGCTGTGCAGGCGCCCTCCACACCCACCCAGCACTGCAGCCGCTCCTTCCACCTCCTGGACTCTGCACAACTCTGCTCCAGCTGCTCCACGAGCACACCGAGCGACTTCTTCACCTCTGCCGCCTCCATGGTAGTGCTGGCTGTGAGGGGCACTGACACGGGCGCTGGCAGCACAGACGCTCCTCTCTCGCCTTCGTTAAAGCCCTTCCCCAGCGCAGCGACACACCACAGGTCGTTGTTGTCTCTCTCCCACTCCTGCTCAGCAGCACCCAGGTTCTCCCGGTGCTCCCCACCTCTGGAAGCAGCCCAGCGCTACACCAGGGCACCTGTGTCACAGCCCCGCGGTGACAGCAGTGACATGGCTGCTACTACCCACTGTGACATGGCTGCTACTACCCACTGTGACATGGCCGCCAACTGCCCACTGTGACACGGCCGCTGCTGGCAGCAGGCGCTGAGCCGGGGACCCAGCCATAGCAATGAGGGGAACAAGGCTCTGCTATGGGTGCATGGGGCCGGAGCAATGGTGGCACCAGGGAGTCCAACTCCACCATGCTCACTGCTGGGGCCTCTGCTGCCGGCGCACATGAGCTCCTGTGAGCTTAGGGAGCGCGGCCCCAGGGGAAGCTGGGTCACTGCATTGAGAGGGAGGTGGAGTTAACCCAAACCCAGGGCTCCACTGAGGATAGAGCAGAAAAGGGGCTGAAAAATGATGCTTCTCCATCAGTTCCACGTAACAGGGCCAGGACTGGGCTGAGCTGCTGGGAATCCCCCAAACACTGGGGAAACCCTCCTTGAAATCCTCCTTACATGCCAGAGGAGAAATTCTAGAACCGTGGAACGCTTTGGAATGGAAGGGACCTTCCAGCTCGTCCAGTTCCAACCCAGCAAAACGCAGTAGGGCCAGATGAAGATCTTGCCCAGGAAGGGCAAACCGGTAGGCAAGAAGCTGCAGGATCCCATCTCAGAGCCCCCAAGGAAGAGCAGGGTTTCCTGAAGAGAGCCAGCACCTGCTTGTGCTGCAGCTGCTGGACCTGATGTGTTGGACAGTGTGGCTGCTGGCCACCCTGGCCATTCATAGCCCGGCCAGCCGCTGGCCGCAGAGGACCTGGAGACGGGGTTGATGTTCTGAGTGTCCCTGCAGGCCCCCTGCCCTGCCCAGAGTGCTCCAAGGCCAGCGGCTGCTCTCCCACAGCCACCTTGTGCTGCCTCGTCGCACGAGACAGCGACTCAATGGTTGGTGTCTTTGAGGCCTCTTGGGACATCACAGCTGCCTACGCTCAGTTCGGTGGAGCCCAATGGTAGCTGTTTCCTACACCCTCCCAATGAGTAACGCTGAAGCCCAAAGGTGCCCAAAGAGGACTACAATGGCCCCTCTACCACGTGCACCGGTGTGCAGGGGCACAAGCTCCAGGCCCCCATCCAGGGACACGTTGGGGACAGCGCCTGCCCCACGGGTGTTTGGAGTCCTGAGGTGAGACCAGCACACAGCAGCCGCTGCAGACCACCCTGTTCATAGCACCCCCAAGCTGAGAGGAGCCGGTTTGCATGTCACAGTCCCTGGGCTTTATTGGCGGGGGGGGAAAGGGATGTCAAC